CCCCCCCCCCCCCTTACACTCTACAGACAATAGTACTTTTACTTTTACTTTGTACTTCAAGTATTTTTTAAGGATACTTTGTACTTTTTATTTAAGTACGTTTTCCCTCAAGTACTTTTTACTCTTACTCAAGTCGTTTTACTGCTAATTACTTCTACTTTTACTCGAGTACAAATTCAAAGTAGTTTAGGCACCACTGTGAATCGCCTGATAGGAATACAACTACGTGAAAAATACAAGGAGAACTTGGACGGTTCGTGCAAAGGCCCTTCCGTGGGAAGTAGTGGCCTTTGTAACTTCTCAACGAAACGCCTTCGCTTGAAACGTGCAAGTTCTTCTTGTATTTTTTCAGAAAGCAGTATCGCTATCAATCCGAAGCATTCCTCACAAATATTGAACATGTATTTGGAAAACTTTCGACTCAACTTCTCGTCAGCAAGAAAGTAAAAAAATAACCCGATGAGTAACCGGATGTTTCGACAAAGGTAGTTGTAAAATTGTAACGACCGGGTTGTAAACGCTGATTCTACATTTCTACTATGCCACCTGGAACACGGGAAAAACTCGAAATGACCACATCAACTTACTTAAACAGCTATGACCATAATGAATCATGAAATCACAGCCTAATGCTCTTGCTGTAAAGTCGTCCACACAACAAGCACCGTACGTCACATCACCCATAATGACCGTCTCAACTTCAGAAAACCTAAACACAAGATTCACCTAATTTAGTCTGGAGATGATTTGTCTGGACAAACACAATACAACACTAAAGGCCGTTTTCCACTAGTAGACCGAACTTTCCGCGCGGAGCGGAATTTTTCTTTGTCTTGTAATTTCTCGGGTGGAACTAATTAGAAAAGACAAAGAGAAATTCCGCTCCTCGCGCAAAATTCCGCCTGGTGGAAAACGGCCTTTAACAGGAGAGCTAACACTCTGAAAACTAAGGCCTGTTTTGTACGTCGAATTTTGGTCGCGTCGAATACAATTAAGGCAATAGATGATGAGATGATAAACTCATTAAGCTTCATTATCTGTTGTTTGATTTGCATTCGACGCGACCGGAATTCGACGTATAAAACGGGCCTAAAAGTTTCTATTACTTTTCAAGGATGTCAGCAATGATGCAGGCAAATATAAGCAATCCTTCTGGAAACTGAAGGGCAACTGAAAGAAAGGTCATTAAATCAATTAATGAACTAATTATAGACTAATTATAGATAACAATCAATACACCCTTTTGATAATTATGTTATGAATACTTCCTGGCTTGGGAGCCTGATTGATTCACTTGGTAACAATTAATGAGTTATAAATCACAACTAATTAGAGATAATTAACAAAGTTAATTAATGATTAATTAGCACTAATTGATGCTAATTAATGGTCATTAATTAATGGCATCAATCAGACAATTCACCATTAATTAATCCTGATTGATGCCATCATTTAATGACTATTAATTAGCATTAATTGGTCACTAATTAACTCATTAGTTAATTGGTGCTAATTAATCATTAATTAACTCATTAGTTAACTGGTGAACATAGATCTCATTAGATAAGTACCTTGTTTGGCATTGACCTTCTTTAGTCTCCATATTGTTTTATGAATTTCAAAATTGTAGTTATAGGGAAGCTAAAACATGGCAGAACAATAATGTTCAAATTAATAAAGATTGTATATTGTCATTTTCACATGCAGCACTGTAGATTGTGTGGTGATCCAAGTGATGTGTTTATCCAAGCTTGTCTGCCAGAGGTATGTGTGCAGATTTCTGCACATTCTGCCAGAGATATGTGTGCAGGAGGGACATTAGGGGCTATCCTGCAACACAACACAGTGATACAAATTGTCAAAAACCACAAAACAAAGTGACATTTAGGAGTGAATTAAAATGGCGATATACCGCACAAGTGTAATTACAGCAATGCCAAAAAAACCCAATGACCCCTTGATGGAGGGTGAGCAATTCTCAGGGGGAGGGAGGGTGCAGAATTTTCAGGTGGAGGGGGTGCTTAAGGTTACAAGGAGCAGGGGGGGGTGAGCATCACCTACATCCCAACTAAGGTATTTGAGAAATAATTTATTGTTTGACCAACCTGACTAATCATATGGTTCAACTCAACATTGTTTAATATTTCATCAGGTATTTGATTCGCAATTCTCGCCCCTAAAAATAGCCAAGATATTAGTTTTCAAACCCTGGGGGCGTGAACAAGAGCTACAGCAGTGCATATGACAAACAAGAATTCTAGTTTTATAAACGGCTGTACACTTACTTGTCTGAATGCCCTTTCCACGAGCTCCAGAAAACCGCTTCCTATCTTTGTCTGCCGAGATATGGACTGGAAGTTTCTCAATAGATAGAGCCTCACTACTGCCTGTTTGCAGGTTTTCAGACATTATTGCTTGATGTTTGTCTCCCAGTCACATCTATATAAACAGGCCAATGGCATATCGATATGTTGGTCAAAAGCATTTGAACATAGAGTTGAAGGTTTCGATGAGCGTGAGATGAGTTCAACATGATTGGCTGATCAGAATGAAACCTGTCAAATGCTCTTCACAAACATGATGTCCAGTGTCACGTGACAAAAGACAATGTTTTCAACTGCAACTAGTAAAACTGTAAATATATCAGATATAAAATGCTTCAAGATAAAACAAACAAATTCCTACCTTTATATCGTCATTAAATGTAATATTTATAACACTAAAATTAGCGATCTTCTTTTTCCACTGTTTATTTTGAATTTTTGTACAGCAAAATCAACCCAGAGCTACCTTAAATGAATTGTTCAACTAGTTCCTAGGTTTCTCCGCGCAAGATGTCGTCCAGACGAGCTTTACATTTTGTGTTTAAAATAGGCAATCGCAGGGCGAACACAAAATTTTACAGAGACTTACTTGGTTTGAAGGTAACTTTGGGTTGAAAGGTCTTGAAAATACGCTTAATTATGTTTGCAATTAAATATGCTTCGGTCTAATTACGGGTATTATTATTGCTTCAGTGCCTCTATTAAATTCTATTAAATTTATAAATGACGTTCCCTATGGGGGCAATGAAGGTGTATAGAAATGTAACACAAATGGTTATTATATCTTTTTATTGAATAGCTACTAATATAATTCCAAGTTTGGATCACTTGAACCAAAAGCTGTAAGCATGGTCTCTAAACCTTTCTAATGTTTCTTGGGTCATTCCAGAAAACATCCACACCTCCCCACGGAGGAAATCGACAGTTAACCCCAGTGCCCCCCCTTTAATGACCAAATACACTTACTATGATCAGAAACAAATTTTTCTCCCCTCCAGATGGCAGAAATTTCCTCTGTGGGTCGAGTGTGGATCTTCTCTGGAATGACCCATATTTTGTTTGGGGTGTGGCACACCCATGGGGGTAATAGGTGTACATTCCTGTGGAAGTGGCATGTCCCCCAGAAAAAGTTGTGCTTTATAGAAATCTGTTGTGCTGCCATACCCAAATGATCACATTACAAATTTCTGGTGATCACATTACAAATATTGTGATCACATTACAAATGATCACATTACAAATATTGTTCTTTTACCCAGTATTTGTTTGTTTTGTATGTTAAATAATTACTGTCTAATTTGTATTGGAAATTAGGAAACATTTCCTCACTATAACTTATATTTTATCATCTTCTTGTCAGGTTTTGAGACATGAAGAATTTGAAGAAGGATGCAAAGCTTCTTGTAATGGGTACAGAAAATAAAGTTATTAAATGTGTAAATCAAATTTGCAAATGTAAAACAGCAAAGTACATATGTATTAGGATGCAAGATTAGTGAGTTATAACATTTCCATGGTTTCTTCAGACCATATGATGGCAAATGGAGTAAGACAATGGCAGGGTATGGACCAGAGGATGATCACTTTGTTGTTGAGTTGACATATAACTATGGCATTAAAGAATATAAGTTGGGGAATGATTTTCAGGTACACACATGTACAAATCTCACAACTTAATTGTTAGCCTGCATGGCAGGCGGTATTTCTACAGGCAGCGAAAATTAAGGAGTCAAAGGAAATACCTAAAATTGTGTGCCACGCAGGCTAACAACTTATCAACAAGATGTGTTCACGTACAACAGGCTTGTAGCATGTTTGTCGACAAGTTGTAACATGCTGTTTTTTTATCAAGTTGCTACAGGTTGTAACTTGTTGACAAATTGTTGAATTGCAGGATGATAACAAGTTGTTGGAACAATTTGTAACAAGTCTGTTGAGCTCAACAAGCTTGTAGCAACAGTTGCCAACAAGCCGTTGACAACTTGTCAACAAGCTGGGGTCAATTAAGTGGTGTGATCACATCCTGTTGACAAATTGTTAGAACAATGATGTATATTGTGGTGTCTGATTTAGAAAGATGGCTGTAAAACAGGTTGTCATTGTTTATAAACCAGGGTGTAACAGTTTCATCAAGTGAAGCTATCAAGAGATTTAAAAATGATAACAGTTCTGTATTACAAGACTTGGGGAATGGAAAATACAAAACTCAATCTCCTGATGGATACATATTTTATCTGGTGGAAAAAGACAAACAACAAGGTGGCAGTGTTACATAGAAAACGATATTTTAAGAATAGATCAGTTGAATACAGCACTATAAGATAAGCAGATAAATCTGTTTGAGCAGTTTAAAAAGCTTTTACATTTATTTCAGATCCAGTTGAAAAAGTATCATTAGGCGTCTCTGACCTCAGCAAATCTGTAAAATACTGGCACGAGTTACTGGGTATGAAGTTATATGAACAAAACAGCAACACAGCATTGCTTGGCTATGGCGATGAGCAGTGTAAACTAGAGTTGGTTAGTCTAGCCCAGTCTGTGGACCATGCTACAGCCTTTGGTAGGATTGCATTCAGCTGTCCACGTGACCAACTTCCTGAGATTGAGGCTAAAGTGAAAGAAGCAGGTCATACTATCATTACCCCCCTGGTTCGTCTGGATACGCCTGGAAAAGCTGCCGTTGAGGTTGTTATTTTAGCTGATGTGGTGAGTCATGTTACGAAAGAGAATAGCTGATTGATGGTAAAGAACATAGTCTATCAAGATCTGATATGATGGTCTGTGTGAAATCAGTGTATTATGTTTTTGTCTGAGTTTATGTTAATTTGTGCACAGTCACGGTGATTTAGCTCATTGTATTTTTGTATAATGAAGACATGAAGTAATCATCCAATAGGGATAGCTGAGATGAAACGAACAATCACGATGAATTGTAATTGTAATTGTAAGTAAAAAACTTCTATAGCGCATTTTCCATGACTAAATGATCAAATGCGCTTTAGTTTAACATGGAACAAAGGCCTTCTATTTTGTGGCTTTGAAGTTTGCCGGGTTTCCAGACCATCATATATCTTAACAGACTATGTAATAAAACTAAATTAGATTCAACGATTGAGAATAGTGAAATCCATATCCCTGGATATGAGATAATTAGGAAAGATCGAAAAATTAATGGTCGAAACGGTGGAGGTGTCTGTATTTTTGTGCGATCCAATATTAATTATATAACGCGAGATGACTTGAATTTCGAAAATTTAGAATGTCTTATAATAGAAATTACCAAACCACGGTCAAAATCGTTGATTCTTGGCACATGGTATAGACCACCAAACTCTCCAATTAGTTATCTAGATGATTTTGAAAATATTATTGGAAAGCTGGACTCAGAAAATCAAGAGATGTGTATATTAGGTGACATTAACATAGATCTTATGCATGAACAGATCTCGGCCAATGCTGTAAAACTGAATTCCATACTAGATATTTATGGTATGGATCAGCTAATAAACGAACCTACAAGAATTACTAATTGTTCTCAAACCTTGATTGATCTATGTTTCACAAATGTACCATCAAAAATAATAAAATTCGGCGTTAACCACATATCTATTAGTGATCATTCACTTGTGTTTATGACTTATAAAACTAATATAGAACGTACCGGGACGCGCACAATAAAAACTCGTTGTTTAAAGAATTTCAATAGAGATAATTTTCTTAGAGACTTGGAACAAAAGCGGTGGTGTGATGTTAACACAAATACTGATCCTAATGATATGTGGGACACGTGGAAAAGTTTATTAATGGAGTGCATTGACAAGCACGCACCATCTCGCTCCAAAAGAGCAGGCAAAAAAAAATCGCCGTGGATAACAAGCCAATTGTTACGACATATGCATAAACGAGATTATCTGAAGCGGAAAGCAACATTGGCCGATGATCAAACTTTATGGGAAGAATATAGGGTTGCTCGAAATCGTACCAATAACGAAATTAGAAAAGCAAAGCAAGAGTATTTTATAACGAATTTGGAAACTGCTAAAACAAATCCAAGAAAAACATGGAAATTAATTAACGAACTAAGCTCACGTAATTGTAATAAGTCAAGTAACATTAACGAGATTAAAGTAGACGGAAAAACAATAAATACACCTGCAAATATAGCTGAAGCTTTTAACAATCACTTCTCAAATGTTGGTGAGAATCTAGCCTCAGAGATACCCATTTCTAACGTCAACCCTGAAGACTATTTAGAATCAACTGAGCAGAGATTTTCCATTAGACCTCCTACGGTTGATATGGTTTATATTCTGTTTAGTAAAATTAACGAACGAAAAGCTCCAGGTCTCGACAACATTCCTAATAAGCTGTTAAAAATAGCAGCAGCAATAATCTCACCATCATTAACTGATATATTTGCCAGATCAATTAACACTGGCATATTTCCATCCGAGTGGAAAATGGCTAGAGTAACACCAATATTTAAGAAAGGAAAAAGGAATCATCCGAATAACTATCGACCAATATCAGTTATTTCAGCTGTAGCCAAAATCTTCGAAAAATTAATCTTTGAGCAACTTTATAATTACTTCAGTTCTAACAGCTTGTTAACGCATTGCCAGTCCGGTTTCAGGTCGTTACATAGTACACTTACTGCTCTTCTTGAAGCCACTAGTAACTGGTCAGTTAATATTGACAATGGCCTCTTCAATGGAGTAATATTTATCGACCTTAAAAAAGCATTCGATACTATTGATCATCAGATATTGCTGCGGAAGCTTCGAATTTACGGTATGGATCAATTAAGTCTCGAATGGTTTCAGTCTTATTTGACCGGTCGATCTCAGAAATGTAATGTTAGAGGTTGCTTGTCATCATCTGCATCAGTTACACGTGGTGTACCACAGGGAAGTAACTTAGGACCATTACTCTTCCTTGTGTATATTAACGACCTTCCTAATTGTCTCAGTGCAGCAGTACCGAGAATGTTTGCTGATGATACGAACATTAGTTATGCGGCCAACACTATCGCCGAACTAGAAAATGTTATTAATTCGGAATTAAAAAAATTGAAAAGCTGGTTGGAAGCGAACAAATTAAGCCTTAATATCGCCAAGACAGAATTTATGATAATAGGATCTCGACAACGTATGCATGCGCACACTAACGAAAATATCAATATTGACCTGGATGGTCGTGTGATTAAACAAGTTGATGAGGCAAAATCACTAGGTGTAATTATTGATAAAAATCTGTCTTGGTCTAAACACATTGATATGAAGTGTAAAAAGATTTCTTCCGCTATAGGTGCTCTTAAGCGAATAAAACCATTTATATCAACTGAAACAGCAATCCAAATTTACAACGCTATAATTCAACCTCACTTTGATTACTGTAGTCCCATTTGGGACGAATTTGGCGCAACATTATGTGAAAAAATGCAAAAAATTGCAGAATAGAGCTGCTAGAGTGATTACGAAATCCAACTACGATGTCAGCTCTAGCATTCTCTTAGAGAAACTGCATTGGGACAATCTTTCCTTACGTAGGAAAAAGCACAAGTCTATATTAATGTTTAAAACTATCAATAAGCTAACGCCAGAGTATTTACAAAACATGTTTACATTTCGCAGCACAGATTATAACTTAAGAAATGCAGAAATGAAGCTAAATTTACCAAAACCACGTACGGACTTTATAAAGCGTAGTTTCTGCTACAGTGGAGCAAGTTTATGGAATGCGCTTCCTCAAACTGCACGTACGTCCAAATCATTGAGGCATTTCAAAAATGAAATTAATCAATTTTTGACATTATAATGGGATCCCCACACGGCAATCTTGGAAAACAGTGCATTTTAGTTAGGAAATTAGTGTGTATATAGTGATGTGTGAAATTTATTAATAGTTTTTGTATTTTATTCTACACTGAAGATTTTACCGTGTTTAAATAAATGTTCAATGTTCAATGTTCAACGCATCTTTCAAAGTGCATTGCTCGTCTGACAGACCATATATACATCTTCTTTAAAAGACAAACTATCCAGACAACCTAGAATAGCGTGATCTATATACTTACACAATATTTTCCTTTTAGTTCGTCTAATGCCCGATTTAGACACATATAAGACATATAAGGATCATTCGTTCACACGAAACGCGCCAGTGGCGGAAATCTTGGTGGGGCGGGGGGGCAGCCACCTCCCCACCTTCGGGAAAATTGCCGAATTTTCGGAAATTTTGATCGAAAAGAGGGCTAAAAACAGTCTTTTCGAGTGCAAATGGGGGGGGGTATGTCGGAAATTTGAAAGTTTTGTCGGAAATTTAGGAGGCTTTGCCCCCCCCCCCACCACCACCGGAAAAAGTGAATTTCCGCCACTGAAACGCGCACGCAAACGTCGTCTGAGTAGTTCGCGACCCAAGTTCGTCCAGACGGCTTTAATAGCCGCCTCTATTAATATAAATCAGACGAATTCAAAATTTTTCATCAAATTATAGGACGGTCATGAGATATGTTTTGTGGGAGACGAGGCATTCAGAGAACTCTCTCAGATTGATCCTAAAGCGAAGGACTTACTGGATGAGGTAAAAATAGTACCATATTTGTCACCAGCTATATCTTGTGCACGAACTGTAATGAATTCATTGTTGTCTTTCTCTAGGCAATGGAACAAGACAAAAGTGATGAATGGTTTGCAAAGAAAAAGAAGAAATAAAAATTGAAAAATAAATAGATAATAAATAATAAACCAGGAGCAGTACGTTTCGCTTCACGTTCCACACGCGCGTCTACGCATTGAAATGTTTAAAGTCCTAAACGATTAATTACAGACTAAAAAACAGTCGCTAATAATTGGAGACTAGTTTTACTTTGTTTTTTACCAACAACAATCCATAGTTTTTACCCGTGAAGTGAAACTGTGATAATAGCGGCAGTTTTTCGTCACGTCCGAATCGGAAAATACACATTAAATTGTAGAGAAAACTGAATTCTATCCCTTTAGCAGATAGAGGATATTACACGGCGGCGCGAAGGTATGGCTTTTATCTTCGAGTGGTGAAAACAATATTTTACGAACGAGCGCAGCGAGTAAAATATTGTTTTTAACACGAGAAGATAAAAGTCATATCTTCAAGCCACCGTGTATTAATGTTCTGTTTATTATATAGTCCCAAGCAAAAAATTGTATAAATCCTAAAAGTCACGTGATCGATATCTTCACTAGTGAAGATATGGAAAATATGTCACTGTGTATTTCTCAGACAAATATGTCACTGTGTATTTCTCTATTATCTCACACTCTACTATATAATAAATAATATTTACAAAGGAAAGACATTTACAAAGGAAAGACACAAATTCCGATTTCGTCGATTCTCAACTTCTGATATTGGTTTCGTTCATTTATTTCGAGTGTTGAACATGATATCTCACGAGTGAGCGCAGCGAACAAGTAAGATATCATGTTCAACACGAGAAATAAATCTGGTATTTCCAAGCACCCATGTATTTTTCTGTTTATTATATAAACACAATTCAGTGAAAAACAATAAAACGTCCGTGGCAATGCGTTTTACAACAAATGATATTTTCACACGTAAAAATATCGTATTTTTTACGTGTGTTTAAATACGATTTTTCTCAGTGGCCAAAAACTCTATATAACACCCATGTTTATATAATAAAATTAGTTATTTCATACGTAACAATATTTAAAAGGATTTAAACTCATGAAAAACGCTTAAAGGTGATCTACAGTCCGTATGTTTACATTTTTTTGTGTCCAAAATATTGAGCTTTATTCGACAACTATTTAGATTTTCAAGCTTCTAGAGTATAATAAATGATCAAGAAACAACAATCAGGCTTTTCAAGAACTCAAAACATAGTTAATTTAAACTGCTTGCATCATAAAAAGTGGGCTCATTTGTGCACATGCGCAGATCTGACTGTAGATCGCCTTTAACTGGAAAGCAGGATTTAGGGGGCGGTTTAGGGCGTATCGCACATGTGCTCAACTGAGGAGCTTAAAAGGTTAAAGTCATAAGTGTTGTTTGCTGCGCATGTATAAAGACTAGTGTTGTTTACTGCGATTTTGTTTACATGTAAACAGGTCAACATGAAAAAGGTCAACATCAAGATCACGGCGGAGTTGAGGTTGGCGCAAACTGTGTCAAGCTTTGCACTGACCTTTGCACCCGTGCCGTGCTCCAGTTTCAGACAGTGACGTCAGAGCCTGGCGATTGCGTAATTAAAATGCACACAAAGCATCACCAGCTTTGCATTTTCTATTTTGGACAGTCGAAGCGAAAAGCAAAATATTTTGGTAGTAAATGGTAGTGGAATAAACATTAGTTCTCAGAACGGATAATATCTTGATCAGGCTAATATTGTGAGATCAAAAGCTGAAAACAATCAAGCATGTCTGGTGAAGAGGAACAAGACACTGCAAGATTGGAGTATTCCTCAGCTTTGCCCCTGGGATATGTGGATATTTTTGTGTTTTCATCGTTCTTGGGTTTATTGTTCTATTGGTTTTTTATAAGAAAGAGCAAACAGGCGGAAATTCAGCCAACAGTTGCTGCAAATGGGTAAAATATCTTATGTTTTCATTTGTCATGTAATATCTAATTAATTCAGTATATTAGTGTTGCAAATATTGAAATTATATACTAGTGATGCTTTATTAAATATAAAGTTTGTACAGAGAGGCTTCGAAGAAATATCGTGCTGCAAATGATTGTCAACTTGCAGCAAATGATTGTCAACTTGCGGCTATCAGAGTAGGAAAGTAATGTCATTCTAGATGTAGTTTTGTATTTGTTGTAAAATTGAAACAATGACAGTCTTTCATCTCTTGTCAACTATCATTCTAATGCAATGTTTTGAAAGAAACTTTGTTACTAGCGAAACTGGACGAGTCGTACAGTCATATTTCATAAATACACTGATACATATGTGCAGTACATGGCATATGTCACATTATGAGCCGACGTAACATTCCATGTGGGCTGTGAGCTAGATTGCTGGCAACCTCGCGACTGCTGGTCCCCCAGTGTGGAACGTTTGTATCACGCGGGGAGATACTACCATTTGCAAGCAACTGCAAAATCCAAACTTTTTTTTGTGTTTGTTTACGTTTCAAACGTGGACAATGGACACAATGGTCAAACGTGCATGTTGACATGTAACAATCAAGTCAATCAATTAGTTTGAACTGCGAAATAGTGACGTTTTAAAAATCTCACCCATATGTTTGAACAATGTGAAAGCATGTTCAAGACTAGATATCCTGCATTTCACAACCGTCATGCCAATAGAAGCGTTCCGAACAATTTTGATCAGTTCATTTCCATGCGTCAATCACAGAACAGTTCCTGAATAATTTGAAAAGTTTGGCTTAGAAATTTCCTAAATTCCTGTGCAGATAAACCAGTCATGTTAGATGTTATATAACAACTGACCAATCACGTTAAAACATTGCCCAAAACAAATTTTCTGTTTGACCGTTTGTCAACTGTTAATTAATATGCCTATAAATTAAAATATTGAATTTTCATATTTTTTTATTGTGTATTCAAAACAAAACAACAAAAATGCTGAGAACTTTGGTGTGTGACGTCAGAGATTGCAACTAGGTTTAGACTGTGACGTCAGGAAGTTTCCTATCCAGTTATTTTACAATCCATGATGAAACATACAAATACCGTTACTGCATTAACAAAGGGATAAACAGTTTCAATTATAAATGTAATAACTATATTTATTTATAGTTTTGATATTATATTATAGATTTGCAATTTTTATGCTTTCTATATATTTACTATTAAATTTTCAAAATCTCCCCCGTGCAATTTCCAAACTTTCCAGTCAGGCTGATCCCCCCCCCCCCATTTTGTTCCAGCTTCCCTGCATTTCCACCAAAATCCGGTCTTAATGTCTAACATAGGTGTATGTTACTGTTCTTAGGAATTTTGGTAAAAACAGTAACAGTTTTGTTGACAAAATGAAAAAAGGGGTATGTGGTAAACTGTGCAATGTTACATTTTAATAACCCTCCCCCAGAGAGCATCATTAACACACATATTTCATCTCTTCTTCCAGCATAAACAGATAGCAATATTTTACGGCTCACAAACTGGCACAGCAGAAGAGTTTGCTGGACATTTAGCCAAAGATGCAGCAAAATATGGAATGAAAGCATCTATCTTTGATCCTGAGGAATTTGAAATGGTTTGTAATGGTTCATTTTACATCTAAGAATTAAATCTCTACCTTCTATATAGACATAGTAGGACTATAACAGGAGCAATTAGATTTCAGATTCCTAAGATATCTCAAACATAGGGGTCCAATGTGGGCAAGTGTACTATAACTAGCCTGCACGGCAGGTGTTTTGCCACACAGGCTATATACTATAACCTGTCGTGGTTTGTGTCTGAACTACCTGAAAAAAGATGTCTCAAACGTGGTGGTCCAGTGTAGATAGTATTCTACTATAACCTGCCGTGGTTTGTGTCTGAACTACCTGAAAAAGATATCTCAAACATGGTGATCCAGTGTAGGTAGTGCTCAGTGGCAGACACTTTATGAAATATTGAGGGGCTCGTGGGCATGCCCCCCAGAAAAGTTTTAAAATTTGGACCCCGGAAATGGCTTTTGCAGCATTCTGAGAACACATTTTGCAAAAAACTAGGTTTTCAATGGTATTAAATTACAATGTTTTAATTAATTGTATTGTATGACAATTGCATTATATGAGTGTGATTTGTGTTATTTGGTATAAGATTTTTACAGTCTTTCAAAATTAGGGGGGGGGGGGCTCAACCCCCTAGTGTCTGTCACTGGTAATGTTCTACAGTAAGCTGTTGTGATTTGTGTCTGAACCAGCCGAAAAAGATATCTCAAACGTGGTGGTCCAGTGTAGGTAGTATTCTACCTGAAAAAGATATCTCAAATGTAGTAATCTAGTGTAGGTAGTATTCTACAATAAGCTGTCGTGGTTTGTGTCTGAACTACCTGTAAAAGATATCTCAAATGTAGTGATCCAGTGTAGGTAGTATTCTACAATAAGCTGTTGTGGTTTGTGTCTGAACTACCTGCAAAAGATATCTTAAACATGGTGGTCCAGTGTAGGTAGTATTCTACAATAAGCTGCCGTAGTTTGTGTCTGAACTACCTGCAAAAAGTCATCTCAAACGTGGTGGTCCAGTGTAGGTAGTATTCTACAATAAGCTGCCGTAGTTTGTGTTTGAACTACCCTGCAAGAAGTGTGTCTTAAACTTTTCAGGAACACCTCTCTCGAATGGAAGAAATAGAAAATTCTTTTGCCATATTTGTCGTGGCTACTTACGGTGAAGGAGATCCTACAGACAATATTCGGGAATTCCATGAATGGCTTGAAGACGACCAAGAAGGTCTCGAATGTTTGAAATACGTTGTAGGTGAACTTTTTAAAAGAATATCATTTGGTTATATGAGTACTGATATTTATAATCTTATTAACAAAATCATGGAAATTTGCTATAAAATGCTTTCAGGTTTTTGGTCTGGGCAATAAGACCTATGAAAATTACAATACAATGGGGAGATTTTTTGATAAACGTCTGAGTGAGCTTGGCTGTACAAGATTGTTTGAGCGAGGAGAAGGTGATGATGATGGCGAGTGAGTATAGTTCTCAATATCTAACCATACTTGATCATCATGCATCATGTCGATCATATTTTACGCATCTTTGCGTTCAGTTGGTGCTGAGGCGTTCGGATTCTGGATTACTAAATGACCCTCATCGAGCGGCGCCCAAGGGAATTTTACTAAACGACCCTCATCGGGCGGGATGTTTTAATAGCTAATTCGCCTCTTTTTATGCTATTACTTATAATAATATTCCAAAGTTTCGTTGCGAAATGTTGTAAAATGCGGATAATATAGCCTTGCAAAGTTTGCCGTTTTTCAGTCATTTTCTATTTCAAACGGGAAATTGACAGCCCCAAAGGGTATTGGGCTGTCAATTTCCCCCGCGTAATGCAAAATGACTGAAAAACGGCAAACTTCGCAAGGCTATATTATCCGCATTTTACAACATTTCGCAACGAAACTTTGGAATATTACTAATTTTGTGATGCTTTTTCAAGCTGTGTTGTCTAAACTTGTACCCTGGTTCCAGAGGTTTAAAATAAACCTCTGGTTGAAAGCGGCAATTGATTCATCGAGCCGCGCCAATCAGTTTGAATTAGGGTCAGATCCTGACTCTGTCTCCTGATTGGATGATTGTATTAAAGCTCTCCGATTGGTTATATATGTTTTATTTGAATCAATCAGAGAGCTTTAATACAATCATCCAATCAGGAGACAGAGTCAGGGTCTGACCCTAATTCAAACTGATTGGCACGGGTCGATGAATCAATTGCCGCTTTCAACCAGAGGTTTATTTTTTCTCTCCCCTTCGCAATGAAAATAATAAAAATAAACCTCTGGAACTGAGGGTACTAAACTTGTTGAGACCAAAATTTAGTCAAAAATGCAAATGGCCCATTCTGCATAAAAAGTCCTTTACGATCTCAATATTTATTAAGCATTGTTATCACCTTTCTCTAAACTTTCTATATGGATTCCCTTCTCTTTATGGAAATAATAATTGATGCTTCATTTCTCTAGTATCGAGAATGATTTTCTAACGTGGAAGGAAAAAATGTGGCCTGCAATTCTGGATTATTATGGCATCGATTTAGCGAATCTAACGTATGTTCTCTTTTTTCTTGTCTTGCATGAGTATATGTACACAGGGCCTATCAGAGGGGGAAATTTGCCCCGGGCCCCCAGTGTAAGACGGGCCCCCAGTGTAAGAGGGACCCCCAAATTTGGAAAATAAAAAAAAATTGGGACGTTTTTTGAAAAATTAATGGGTTGGGAAAAATTTTTCTAAACCTAAAGCTTCGGATACACGAGCAATATTTTTGCTGTGATGGTTACGCAATGGGTGATAACAGCATTGCGTTGCCGTCGCAAAATGTGGCTACACCTGCAATATTTCACCTGCAATATATGTCTTCATAACGCTTTTCATTGGCTGGTCAAGAAACGTGTTATTCATCAACCTTGACCTTCCTTGACCACACCTCCCTATTTTCGGCAATCATTGCCGAAAATCAAATGATTTGAAATTTCGGCAACGATTGCGCGCAGCTTTGCGTTGCCGTCGCAGAGCAACAAGCAATAGGGAACTTCAGATTCGCTACGGCTACGAAATCTGGTACGACTACGAGATTTTCCCCGTTAAATATCTGCTACTACAACTTTTTATCGTCCTTTTTTTTTTGCATACCACATCTTTATAGCAACAGTTGCGCCAAACCACGTACTATTATAACTTTTTGGTAGCTGACATTTAATGGAAAAATCTCGTAGTCGTACTAGATTTCGTAGCCGTAGCGAACCTAAAGTTCCCTAATTTCTTTCTCGCGACGGCAATGCAACGATTTTACCACCATTGCATTGCCATCGCCAGAAAAGTATTGCCCGTGTATCCGTAGCTTAAATTTTGCAAATATTGGTACAAAAAAGGGTTTTACCAATGTAGTTTAACAAGAATTTGTCCAGAAAAAAAATTTTCGAACCTTAACTTAACTGATGTTAGTCTGGAAAACTTTTTTTGACCCTTCTTTTTTAATGTGCGGAAAAAAATTTTTCGCCAACATTTTTTGGAAAAAATAGGGCCTCCGAAAAAAGTTTTGCCCCGGGCCCCCGAATTTCTCTGATAGGCCCTGTATGTACGGGACGTCTGGTCAGAACAAGCGCTTTTCACCTATGAGTTCACAGGTTCGATTATCGCTACGGACTCATGTGGAAAGAGTGAGTCAACGCTCTGCCGAAAGTCGTGGGTTTTCTCCGAGTGCTCCGGGTTCCTCCCACAGAGAAAGTTGACAGGGTGGGTTAGGATAAACACAGTTAAGAAAGTAATATCACAATTGTTGTAAAAATAAAATAGTCTAGGCCTAAGTTGTAATTAGGTAAAGCATATTTGATCATATCTATACATGTAAATTTACGCTATATCGCAGGGCTCGAATTTTATCGCGGCAATTGACCATTTGCGTAATAGACTAAATTTTGATTTAAACAAGTCTAGACAAAAATTTCATCACAGCTTGAAAGAGCATCACAAAATTAGTAATATTCCAAAGTTCCGTTGCGAAATGTTGTAAAATGCAGAAAATATAGCCTTTCGAAATTTGCAATTTTCAGTCATTTTAGATTACAAACGGGAAATTGACAGCCTCGAAGGGTTTGAGGCTGTCAATTTCCCGTTTGTAATCTAAAATGACTGAAAATTGAAAATTTCGAAAGGCTATATTTTCCGCATTTTACAACATTTCGCAACGGAACTTTGGAATATTACTAATTTTGTGATGCTCTTTCAAGCTGTGATGAAATTTTTGTTGAGATCAAAATTTAGTCTATTACGCAAGTGGTCAATTGCCGTAGAGCGAGAACAAAATGCCGTGGATCATTGCGGCAACGACGGCAATTTTTTGCCGTATATAGTGCAATTTTTATTCTATTCACTGTGCATTACTATTTTGATACTTCAATTCAGATGTTCATCAAATCATGCGTAAATCACTATTTTAGTCTCAGTTTTGTTCGGAAAAAAAAACACTAAAGAAATACGTAGACATGTTTCTAGCTTGTCAAAAATCCAAAGTAACAATAAAATTAAAGTTTATCACAGTAATTTGACAAATGCCGTGGAAACTGCCAAAATTGCCGTAGACAGCTGTTACGTTAACGCCATTGCCGTCGATTGATTTCAGGGAAATTCGAGGCCTGCTATATCGTAAGTACAAAAAGTTCTGTCATTTCTCGTATTATATTTGTAATTTTTATCTCAAAACAGGTTATCCCTAGATCTCATTCGGCAATATGATCTGAAGATCCATACTGATATATCAGATGAAAAAATTTTCTTGGGAGAAATGGCGCGATTGAAATCTCTCGTTGATCAAAAACCGTAAGTTTTATTAGTACAGTAGTTATAGTTTGGAAAATGTTTCAGAACGCGCTCTAAACACAAGTTCATTGTATAAAGGTGTGCTTTTTTGTCTCTTGATCGATCAGTATTAATTGTTCACCATGATAATGTTTATAGGCCATACGATCAGAAGAATCCATACATGGCGCCAATCTCTGTGAATCGTGAGTTACACAAAGGAGGAGATCGATCATGTATGCATATTGAGCTAGATATTACGGAGTCTAAACTCAGGTAAGATTTTTCAACTTAAGGCCAATTTCCACCACACAACTTTTGCCTAAAACTGTCGCATGCAACCAGCTTACAACTTGAGTTGTGCTGTGTAAATCAAGCACACAACTCATCTACGACAACATAGGATTGAATAGGAGTTTGAGAAAGGTAGATAATCAACATTTGTCTTTAGATACGACGCCGGTGATCATGTTGCTATCTATCCAACCAATGATCCTGAGCTGGTGGAAAAAATTGGTCAAGTTTTAAACATCGATTTAGATGTCGTCTTCTCTCTTGTCAATAAAGACGGTAGGTGCACACGACGTTGTTTTCAATGTTGAAATGCTTACCAGTCAAAACGTCCCCAGGTCAAAATGTCCTCAAGTCAAAATGTCCTCAAGTCAAAATGTCCTCATGTCAAAATATCCCAACTAAAGTCAAATCTGTTGGCTAAATATCAGATATTCTTTCAATTTTAAAGTAATTTTAAACTATTTTCACATATAATATTTTTGTATTTCTTCTGATCTGATCAACAACGGTACTATTAAATAAACAGCGGTACTATTAAAATTCTTTGCGAATAAATTCATTGCCAAATAAACAATTAATTCAGAGTTACATACTGTAATCCCATGACCATGTATCGCATAATTTGGAAACTGTGTATGTGTTGTAACCCTATGAACATGTTTATTCTTTTATAATTTAGTTGCAGTTTAATTTATTTGAACACAAGAGTTAGGGTTTTTTGGCCTGGGGACGTTTTGACGGTTATCTGCAGGTCAACGTTAGTCGTTATGAAGTGTCTCTGCATTGGAACAGCCGATAGGAACATTACAAATTCCCTCAAGGGATTTGTAAAGAGTTTTTCAAATTTGCAAAGGTCATTAGGAAAATTCCAATTGAGTTAGGAACTTAAAAGAGGAACACTTCACGTAGTTTACCTGCAATACACTATCAAAGTTTCTGTGATCATGCACAGTAAGAATTTTGCACAGGTAAATTCTAAATGTTTGAGGGAAGTCATTGTTACACACCCTCAAACATTTCTTACAAATCCTTCAAAACGTAGAATTTACCCATGCAAAGGACTTTCATAGATAGTTTTAGCCAGGTTTAACCACTGTAAACACTGTTGCTTTCAGAGGAATCTAACAAGAAACACCCATTCCCCTGTCCTACGACTTACCGTACTGCGTTACTCCATTACGTGGACATCACGAGCAGAGCCAAAGGAAATATTCTTCAAAGCTTGATTGAATACGCTCAGGACAGCAAGGAGAAAGAATTTCTTGAAAAATTAACAAAAAATGATGACGAGGGCAAGGTCTGTGCTTACTTATCTTAAACTAGCTAGTTTATAAACTGTTCTTCCGACAGCTTCGATAAAGGTTATCTTTTATTAGTCCAGTATTTTTATGACTGCACATCTAAAATAACTAATATTAGATAGCTCTATCAGTTCTAACTTGTTTTCTCTAGAGGTCCAGCAAGGATAATCTCTTATTGATCTAGTGTTACTACAGGAGGAAACCTAAACTAACTTTATTTTTGCTGAATAGTTCTATCAGTTCTAAACTGTTCTCTCTCTAGAGGTCCAGCAAGGATAATCTTTTATTAATCCAGTATTACCAAGAGAGGAAACCTATAAAAATGACTTTACTTTCTTGCATATTTTTAGAAACTGCATCAGGAATGGATAATGGATGACCATCGAACAATTATTGACGTCCTACAAGATTTGCCCTCAGTTCGTCCTCCTATTGATGTCTTGCTCGAGTTCCAGCCTCGATTAAATTGCAGATATTATTCCATTTCATCTTCTTCGAAAGTATGTGTTTAATGTTTCTTGAGTACGTCATATAGACGTCATCAACTAATGCATGTTTATGCCCCCCCCCCTCTCATCCCCAATTCACATTTTCAGACCCCGTTCACACGATACCGGCAGAGTTTGAAAACGGAACGAAATTCTTACGTTTAGGGGTTGCGTTCACACGATGCCGGTTTGAAAAAATGTGAAACCGTAACGCTAACCGTAAGAGTTTGGAAACGGTATGCAAACCGTAAAAGTTTGAAAACGAAACGAAATTCTACCGTCAGAGTGCCGTGTGAACGCCTAACCGTAAGAATTCATTACGGTTATGCAAAATGAAATTAACAAAACTGCAAAAGGTGTTGTTGGATATTTTATTCTGTCTATTTTAACTGATTTGTGCAACATGTTGTCAAAGCGGAATATAATCTGCCGGTATCGTGTGAACAGTTGAAACCGTGATGATTTTCTGTCCTGCAGAATTCCATGCCGGGTCTAAGATAACTCACATGCCTACAGAACTAGAAGATTGAGATTTCTACAGGGGTCGAAATTTAAATTTTTTGGTACTATACAGCCGGAATAGTAGATTTTTATATTTACTATTCCGTCTGAAAATCCACTATTCCTTAATGTACTGTTTCTGTTCATGCAGGGTCCGCGCTATAGTGTTCTGATTTTCGTGAAATCATCCTTGAGACTCCTAAAGTGAACTGAATAATTGAATAACAAAAAATAAACATGTACAGTGCATTGCTCTGTAAAGTGATGAACAAATTATTAATAAAAAACAAAGTTCAAACTCTGAAATGAACTTGCGAACTTTGTTGCGAAGTTCGCGCCCAATTTCCGAACTTGGAAACGTAATTGGCAAGTTCGCATCGAACTTGGGAACCGCGCGTTGAAAAGTGACTTGAAATCAACAATAATATTGGTGCAAAGAAATTAGAAAATATGCAAGTATTGCAAGCGAACAAGATATTTGGTACCACAACCGATATTTGGTACCACAATTTTTTCTACTATACAAACGGAATGCTGTGATCATGAAGTTTACTATTCCGTCAGGCATTTTAGTATATTCGGAATAGCGGGAATGTCGACCCCTGTTCTATAACGTAAATTTACATATGATTATGATCAAATGCGGTTTACATCAAGTACTACAGCCCAGCATCTCAATCGTCTCAATCTTCATAGGTAGGCGGGTACTTTAGTCAAGCTTGCGGAAGCAACAACAACATGTGCTGGCTTAACCTGCAACACCCGTTTTCCCTTGTGTGAGAAAACATGAATTTTTCTGCTTCTTTCATTCCTCAGCCAGCGGGATATCACACTTGTCTCTATTTCAGCTGCATCGTCATTCAATTCATGTCACCGCCGTTGTGGTGGATTATGAAACTCGGCTGAATAGACGCATGAAAGGAGTCGCTACGACATGGCTCGCTAAAAAGCTACCAAACGGTACGAAATGGCGAATATTTTATTTCATTGGGCCATTCCATTGAATTAATATAGGCCACCCCCCCCCCCCCTTTATTGAGGGATTCCTTCATAATCCCCTGAGGATATAAAAATTTTTGAATCTCCTTGGTTGCAATTTGTGGAAGTTACCCCAGAGGATATCTTACTAACCCCTTCAGGATATCGCTTTTTCCCTCTTGGATCGATATCACTAAAACACCTAATTTTTGCCATTATTTTAAAAATCTCTCAAGCTACCTTCTAGGAAAATTTAAGATGAAGACCCCCTCCCCCCCCCCCCATTGGATATCCAGACCCTTCAATAAGGGGGGGGGGGTGCATGTATTAAATGGAATGACCCATTGATAATAGGTATCGGTGAATTTCAGTCGATGTTACCAGTGGAAGCCAGCTACAATAAATCACGTGATATATTTATTTTTCAGACGATCTCGGACCAACTGTCCCTCTGTTTGTTCGTAAGACTCAGTTCCGACTTCCTTTCAAGTCAACCACCCCGGTCATCATGATAGGGCCTGGCACTGGCTTCGCGCCATTTCGTGGTTTTGTTCAAGAAAGACATGCGAAGAAAATGGAAGGTTCGATACCCACATTTTGTATGCGATTGTTAAGCGTTTTTTCTTACTTGGAAAAGTTTAAGTACTATTTCAAACACGCATAGGAGTGTTTTATCATATTTAAAATGCGAATGCGCAGCACGAGCATTTTAGATATGATAAAACACGACTACAAGGATTTTAAATAGCTTCAAGCAGCGGCGGCGGAACAGATTTCGTTCTGGGGGGGGGCTAAATTTTTTTCGGCGACCCCCCCCCGTCGCCAAAAAAATTTTGGTCAGTGTACCACTTTAGGGGTACAATATACAAAAAAAGGGACGAAAAAATTTTTTCGGACTTATATCAAAACAATTTTTCGGAAATACACTTTTTTTAAACAAAATATTGCAAATTTGTCCCCTTATACCTAAATTTTCAAAAAATAACCTAAATTTTTCCCTAATTATCAAAAATTTTTCCAAAAATTCAAATTTTCTGGGGGGCTAAGCCCCCCCACTTTTACTTCTGGGGGGCTTTAGCCCCCCTAGCCCCCCCCCTGTTCCGCCGCCCCTGGGCCTTCAAGCACGACTATACAATAGATGCCTTCTCATTAGTATTCTTTATATAAAGAATACTAATTAGGATGGACTTTTATATAAAGAATACTAATGAAGATGCATTTTATCATGATAAAGCCTCTTCACTAAAAAAACCACCTCAAAATTAGTAAGTATACAAAGTTTGAAGACGTTTACATGAATATCCTTCGAATAATAAGCTTTCGAAAATCGCGATATTTTCTATGAAATGTATTGTAATTTTTGTTTTTGGGACGCGCGTCCCAAAAATATTCTTTTAAAGACCGTGTAAAGTCCGTTCTGCGCATACGTTCTGCGCAGGCTTGCATTCCAATTGTCGGGACCCGACCGTTGGAATGTTATTAATATTTCGTTTGAATTTTCTTGAATTGAATCTCTAGTCTGTATTCATTTACAAGCATAGCGAACCAGAAGAGTATTATATGTATCTAATCATATTTTACAACAGTAGCACTGAGTTCAAAATGTAAACAAAGCGTTTGTTTACATTACGGACTTAACATGGTCTTTAATCAGTAATTTCACAATTTTCGAAAGCTTATTATTCGAAGGATATTCATGTAAACGTCTTCAAATTTTGTATACTTACTAATTAAGAGGTGGTCTTTTTAGTGATTTGGTTCATTTCTTAATTTGGGCGGGTGCACGACGCAGCAAATCAAAGCGCCTGGGGACGAGGCTGTTCATACGTATAAAAAACGCGTTACTGGAGAACAGCCTTTATTGAGCAAGCGACCTTCACGTTTTCGCTTCGCTTCTGGAGTATTATTATATTTTGATATTTGTGTGTGTGTGTGCTTTAATACCGGGCAAGCTGTAAAGTCAGCCTGACCACGGTGGGAGTCGAACCCGCGACCTTTGTGATACTAGTCCAATGCTCTGCCAACTGAGCTACGAGGCCAAGTGGGTTCGAGTGTGTGGTATTTCGGAACTAAGTCTAGTACCTTCGATACCAATGTATTCTATGATATGATATTTTTGTGTGTGTGTGCTTTGATTTTATGTACTCAGATGAATATAATGTTTTTGATGTTACTGTGAATGTATATCAGTTAATCCACACCGGGCAGGCTGAAAAGTTAGCCTCACCACGGTCAGAATCGAAGCCGCGACCCTTGGGATACTAGTACATAACAATATCAAAGCACTAAGGCCCGGTCACACTACACAACGATAACGATACGATAAGTTGTAAACACGCAATAATTGGCAAAAAAATTGTGTTAGTGTCCACACAACAACGAAAATGATAAAATTATCG